AACTATTAACTCACAATGGTTGGACTGGAAAAAAAGATTTTGTGACAATTTTGCTAATAAAGGATGGAACCCAATCAGGTATGCAATTAATTTTAAATATCAAACAGGATCACTAATAGAATACGCATTAAGAAAAGAAAAGTTGATGTTAGAAACCAGGAAAAGTATTGTTGTGAGCCCACTGATTGATTTAATTGCAGTAGGTCTACCCAACTATGTAACCGATAAAATTGATAGAAATACTTTAATTGAAACAGAGGATCTATATAATGAATTGGGTAAGTTAGAACACATAACAAATAAAAAAAACCAGATATTCCTAAAAACGTAAATGAACAAGGATTTAAATTAAAAACACCTTGTACAATTTGTAAAGAAAAATTAAACAAAGTTCGTTTTCATCCATTAGAAAGTTGTTAGTATAAGATGCGCAGGAAAAAGAGAAAAAAAATAAACAATTCTTTAATAGACATAGAAACAGATGAACAAAATCCAAAAAAACTAGTATACACACCATTGATTGATTTTAAGTTACAATATGTAAAAAATTTGTTATAAATGCGGTTTATGATACAGGATCAAATGTATCACTCATTAATGCAAAAACACTAAAATTAAAAATAAACAAATCTGGTTTTAAAAAAGCTAAATTAAGAACAATCAATGGTGTGAATGAAATCGATCACTTAATCAAAATAAAAGTTAAMATTTTCAACATAGAAAAAGATGTTTATGTCTTTGTGATAGACAATGAAAACTGCAAATATGATTTTCTCATTGGAATATATCTAATTTATTTATTTATCTTCAATTTATCTCAAAATGAAAATCTGTGTATAGTACAAAAAGGGAAAGAATCTAATTGTGACAATAATAATTGCAAAAAAGATAATCCTGAAAAGGCATATATATATATATATTTTTTTTTTAAATGCCCTGGGGCTTTATTATTTAAACGACCCAAAGGTCTTTATAAATATGTTTGACAATTACACATATTTTACATACTTGACATAATATATATATATATATATATATATTACACGTTGATGGAGTCACTTCCAATGAAGTGTCTCCTGCCTTAATCTAAAATCTCAAACTAAGTCGTATGGTTTCAGACGCTTAAGACGTCGGATATTCTTGGAGTTATCTAATAATTGAATGGCCAATGGATTGACATGGTGATATAGCCTCGTCTTGTGTTTGCGAGCAAACCTTTGGATTTCGTCTGCTATTGTAGGCAGCATCATATCACGGTGAATTGTATTGTTTCTTTCGAACCGGTAGGCTGAAGTGATGGTCCTAAGTGCAATATTTTGACAGCGTTGTATTACATCGATGTTAGACTTACTGGCACAACCCCACAATTGAATGCCATATATCCAGATCGGTTTTATAATTGCTACATACAGTAGACGTTTGTTTTCTATGGTTAACTCGGAGTGAGGTCCGACTAACCAATAAAGTTTTCGCATTTTTNTAATCTACCTACTATTTTTATTTTATAAAGGTGCATTCGAAAATGTTTTGACATATCTGATGGAACTAAGGTTGTTATTCTTAATCRAATAAATAATTTTAACACCAAAGACGAACAAGACACGTATCTGCAAGCTCTTATTGATTCGAGTTCTGTAAGGGATACGTCAAAACGGCAAAATGTCGAGAATCCAAAACCTAAGATGTATTCTTWTAAGTATTTCATCGAAATTGATGGAAGCAAAAACCAAGTATGTAAAAAAGCATTTTTAAGTTTGCATGGCGTAACTAATAAAAGAATCAAGAGACTACAACTGCTCAAAGTGTCCGGTAAAAGTCCCCACGATATGCGCGGAAAATCTGTAGGGTCTAGAAGTAACGTTGTGCCACCAGAAACGTGTGCTCTAATCCACCATTTTGTGGAATCAATTCCAGTTAAACAAACTCATTACTCCAATAATATAGTAAAACGATATTTATCTTCTTCGTTAAATGTGAMAATATTATATCAGCAATATTGCATCAAAAATCCGAATACAAAAGTAAACTATCAGTTTTTTAGAAATTACTTCAATGAAAATTTTAACCTTTCTTTTGGGAGACCTCAAATTGACGTATGTTCAAAATGTGAAGAATTGAGTGTTAAACTAAAAAACCCTCATTTGAATGAAAATGCCAAAAAAGTTACAAGCGCAGAATTAATCATTCATAAGCGACGAGCATCAAMATTTTTCAGTAAAGCCAAAGCAATAACTGAAAAATGTCAAGAAGATGGCAGTTCTATTATGGGTTTGTCATTTGATTATATGCAGAATCTCCCACTGCCAGTTCTTCCAGTGCAAGAAGTTTTTTATTTTCGTCAGTTATGGGTGTATGAATTTTGTGTTCATAACATGAAAACTGCAAAAGCAACCTTCTATTCCTACCACGAGGGTCAAGCACTCAAGGGTCCCAACGAAGTGACATCGTTTTTAAATGATTATATTCGTGCCAACGTTCCTAAAGAAACAACAGAATTACACTTATTTTGTGACGGCTGTCCTGGTCAAAACAAAAACAGTACGATGATTAAGTTTTTACTGTCACTGTCAGTAAGTCKTAATTTGAAAATTAAAATTWATTTTCTGCAAAGAGGACATTCTTTTAACGATTGTGACAGAGATTTTGCGACCGTAAAGCGTAAAATTAAAAGAGAAGATCGGTTGTTCACTCATCAACAATATGTAGATTTAATACTAAGCAGTACCGCGAACAAGAAGTTTAATGTCARAACCATTACATATTCTGACGTTATAGACTTCAAATCATGGTGTAAAGTTAATTTTAAAGCCAAGCCACTGTCGGAAAGATGTTACGGGAAAAARGTGGACAAAAAGGATAAGGTTTCATTTCAAGTATCGACTTTTTTTAAATTTATATTTGACCCAATAAAACCAGGTGAAGTCTTGTGTCGCCCTTTCATTGACAATGAAATAAATAATGAAACTTTTATCCTATCAAAAACAAAAGGTTGTTGTGCAAGCATCCCTAMTATTGAAGCATTTCCTAGCTATTCCTCTAAACTTCCAATTAATATATTAAATATGAATGATCTACAGAAGTTAAAGCAATACATACCAGACGATTACATACATTTCTATGAAAGCATTTTGCAGTGGCCGACAGATGTATCAGCACAGCTAGACGTCGAAGAAGAATTTTGAAGTACACGAAAATACTAATTTATTCATTATTTTTTTTTTTTTTTAATGTTAAAGAGATAATTTTCTATTTATTATATTTTCTGTTTTATTATAAAATTCATAAAAATAAAAGAACATGGATAAGAAATATTTTTTGTATAATTTTATCTCAATAATATGGGCATTTTCAATTTTAAATCACTATAGTCCTCACACAAATTTCGAAAAGGAGTCATCTCGGAAAACTTAATGAATCACTTTTGCAATAAAATTTCACTTCCAGAATATTATATTACAAAAGCTTAACATTAGATAATAGTTAGTAACATAAGAAAAAAAATGGCACAATAAAAAAAAAAATTAAAAATTAAATCAGTTTTTTAAGTTTCCTGAAAAATTTTAATTTTCAGATATGAGCCCTTTTCGAAATTCCCAATTCAAATATACTCTGCATAACCTCAATTGAAACTCCAGATGAGAGGAAGTTTATTTTGCCTGATGAAGTACAACCGGCATCATTACATACAGTGATATCAAACAATGAAATATTTTCAAAAGTGAAAAAAGTATAACAAA